GCATTCCCATTCCATGAGTGTTTATTGGCCATCTGCTAGGTTGCAGAGTCATGGAGTATGCAAGATGGGTTGGCTACCAGCCCTGCCTCTGGGTAAGTGGATAGCCTTGAGCAAGAAAGCTGAAGGATAATGCCAAGGCCCTGAGTTCAAGCCCCTATACTACATCAAACAAACAAAAAAAAGTATTAGGAGGTAAACTAGTAGGATGGGGAGGTGGGTTGGTTCAAAGGGAGGAGCCAGTTGTAAAGGAATGTAGAATAAGTAAGGAACTAGGGCTGGGAAGGTGGTTTAGTGGTAGAGTGCTTGCCTAGCATGCATGAAGCCCTGGGTTCGATTCCTCAGCACCACATACACAGAAAAGTCTGGAAGTGGCGCTGTGGTTCAAATGGTAGAATGCTAGCCTTGAGCCAAAAGAAGCTCGGGGCAGTACCCAGGCCCTGAGTTGAAGCCCAGGACTGGCCAATAAAGGGGGAGAGGACTAGTTGCAGACTCGGGAAGCTGGGGTCAGTGTGGACATCCTGAGACTGTGTGGTTTGAGCTGACTGCTGGTGGATACTCTATGTACTAGATGAAGAAAGGGTGGGAAAGGGAAGAGCTCTCCTCAGGGGGCAGACAGTATGTGAAAAGGCCCTGTGGCAATAGAGCAGGGCCAGGGCAAGGGATGAGCCCCTGGAAAACACACCTGCTGGGGGAGATGATGTTGAGTTGATTTGAACGGTAGTGGTGAAGTGGAGGAGGTCGGTGACCCACAGCTCCGAGCTAGCGAAGCCATGGGGGTTGGCAGGGGTTGCCAAGGCAGACGGAGGGTGCAGTGGGAAGGGGTAGGGTCTGCCCGGCCTGTGTCTGCCCCTGATCCAGTGCTTCTCAGATTGGAAGTGCACAGGAATCACCTGTGTGTGGGGATCCTGCTAAAATGCAGACCGATTCTCCCCTGCATAGATCCCAGCCAGAACCTGACATTCTGCTTTCCAGACTACCTTTCCTTTCTGTTAGAACTGAGTACTTCCCACTCGCCAGACGGGTGCTCTACCACTTCAGCCATGCCTCTAGCCCATTTTGCTTTTGTTCTTTTTCTAACAGGCTCTCAATTTTTGCTAGGACTGAGATGCTCCTGCCCTAGCTAGTGTAACAACCATGCACCACCATGCCTCGTTCCTTCCATTGACAGTCTCACAGACTTTTTGCACAGGCTGGCCTCAAATCACAATCCTCCAGTCTGTCTCCCAAGTAGATGGGATGACAGGCCCACTTTTTTTCCCTCTCTCTTTTTTTTGGGGGTGGAGGGGTCAGTCGTGGGGCCTGAACTCTGGGCCTGGGCGCCGTCCCTCAGCTCTTCAGCTCATGGCGAGTGCTCCACCACTTGAGCCACAGCACCACTTCCAGTTTTTTGTTGGTTAATTGAAGGTAAGAGTCTCATGAACTTTCCTGCCCGGGCTGGCTTTGAACCGTGATCCTCAGATCTCAGCCTCCTGAGTAGTAGGGTTACAGATGTGAGCCACTGGCACCCGACTGGACCATTTTTTGAGTAGTGGAAGGAATTGGTCCGTCTGCTTCTACAGCTCAGCCCCCACACACCCACCTCCCTCCCGCTTCTGCTCAGAAACCTCCAGTGCCCATTTAGCACTTCAAGTTCCAGGGTCTTCTCCACATATTTCTGCTTAAAATCCATCCTAAGGGACTTTTGGGTAAAACTCTTTACCCCTTCACCCATGTTTAAGTTTATGTTTACTTTTTTTTATCATCTATTTGCAGATGTGACTTCCAGGGTATTGTAAACATTGATATTTTTAAGTAAAACTATGACATCACTGTTTCGAGTTTACCCAGTGGAATCTAAACACCATAACCATTCCATCCCCAGCATTTTAAAAATACATGAACACTCTCTTCTGCAATAATCCTTGTCCTTCTCCTTGAAATTTTATTTCTGTCTCATCCTCTCCCAGGGAATTTTGCCCTAATGCAGTAAGTGTGATATATATTTATGCTTAAAATGCTTTCATTTGTGTCCCTACGCTATTTCTCTGTAACAAGTTTAGATATATAGATGACACTTTTTAATTTCCTGAAATCATAAAACTATAAGTATTAAAATTTTCTCTAGATTTGAGTTATGAGTATAATTATTAATAGTATATAGTAGCTGGGTGCCGGTGGCTCACACCTGTAATCCTAGCTACTCAGGAGGCTGAGATCTGAGGATCACAGTTCAAAGCCAGCCCGGGCAGGAAAGTCCATGAGACTCTTATCTCCAATATAAACCACTAGAAAACTAGAAGTGGCACTGTGGCTCAAGTGGTAGAATGCTTGCCTTAAGCTGAAGAGCATAGGGACAGCGCCCAGGCCTAGAGTTCGAGCCTCCAGGACTGACCAAAAAAAAAAAAAAGTATACAGTTGGTCAACAATATAGATCCTTCTTTAATTTGGATTAATGATTAGTAAATATAAAAAAGGAAGTCATAATGAATCAATGGGAGGAGGGTGGTTCCAGATGGCTTATTTCCTTTTTTTTGTACCAGTATTGGGGTTTGAACTCAAGGCCTCATGTTTGTTCCATTTGCTTACTCATTTCTAGTGCTCGACCACTTGAGCCATACCTCCAGTCTTGCTTTTTGCTGTGGGTTGTTGGAATCTCCAAGACTTTTCTGTCCTTGAACTGTGATCTTTCTGCTCTCAGCCTCCTGAGTAGCTGGGATTACAGGTGTGAGCCACCAGTACCTCACTGCTAGATGACTTTTTAAAATAAACTTGTATTGATATACAACATACACACCTGTGTCTGAGCAGTGTCTGTATTGAATCAGAGAGAGCTGACCATAATGTTATCACCCAGACTAGAAGAAAAATATTGCTGTTCCTGGGCTGTTTCTTCATGTTTGTTACTTTTTGTGTGTGTGTATTTGTTTTTTGTTTTTCTTTTTCTTTTCTTTTCTTTTTTTTTTTTGTCGGTCGTGGGGCTTGGACTCTGGGCCTGGGTGCTGTCCCTGAACTCTTCAGCTCAAGGCAAGTACTCTATCACTTGAGCCACAGCACCACTTCCAGTTTTCTGAGTGGTTTATTGGAGGTAAGAGTCTCATGGACTTTCCTGCCCAGGCTGGCTTTGAACCGCAGTCTTCAGATCTCAGCTCCAGAGAAGCTAGGATTAGAGGCATGAGCCACTGGTACCCAGCTTCATGTTTGTTTTTTAGCCAATTCCATGCAAGAATATGATTGGAAATCCCTTTTGGGGGTGGTAGAGGGGCTGAACTCCTTGCTTTACATTTGCTAAGAAAGTGATCTTAACCACTTGAGCCACATCTACAGCCCTTGGAAGGCTCAGGTCAGTAGGATTATAGTTTAAAGCAACCCAAGCAAAAAACTGTTCAGGAGATTCCCATCTCAACTAAGAAAAAAGCTACGCACAGCGGTGTACACCTGTCATGCCGGCTATTCACGGAGGAGGATCATGGTTTGTGATAGTCCAGGCAAAAAGGCCTGGGAGCCTAGCTCAAGTAATAGAGCACTTGCCTTGCAGGTACAAAGCTCTACGTTCAAACTCCAGTACCACCAAATACATACATACATACTATAGATAATTATTTCTTTTAGAGCTTCCTATTAAGAAAGGAATTGGAAACTTTCCTGTGTTGAGGAAACTTCCCTGTGACTCTATCTCAGCCAATAACTAGACATGCTAGCGTGTGCCTATCAGCTGACTTGTGGGAAGTGTAAATAGAAGGCTCGTGGTCTAGGCTGCCCTGGGCAAAAATAGGAGAAGACTTTTTTTTTTTTTTTTTTTTTTCCGGGTCCGGTCGTGGGGCCTGAACTCTGGTCCTAGGCACTGTCCCTCAGCTCTTCAGCTCAAGGCTAGTGCTCTACCACTTGAGCCACAGTGCTACTTCCGGCTTTTTTCTTTTTGCTTATGTGGTGCTGAAGAATTGAACCCAGGGCCTCATGCATGCAAGGCAAGCACTCTACCACTGAGCCACCTTCCCAGCCCCTAGGAGAAGACTTTCTAATAAATAACTGAAGCCAGGCAGGCGCCATGGCTCACGCCTGTAATCCTAGCTACTCTGGAGTCTGAGATCTGAGGATTGCAGTTTGAAGCCAGCCCAGGCTGGAAAGTCTATGACACTCTTTTCTCTAATTAACCACCACAAAACCGGAAGTGGCGCTGTGGCTCAAGTGGTAGAGCACTAGCCTTGAGCTTTTAAAAAGAGGAGCCCAAGGAGAGCACCCAGGCTCCAAGTTCAAGCCCCAGGACTGGCAAGAAAAAGAAAAAGTAGGAAAGACAATGGAAGCAAGAAGGATGGAAAGCATGTCTCAAGCAATCAAATGCCTCCCTAGCACATGTAAGGCCCAGAATAAAGGGTGCACCCATGTCCTGATCATTTCCTAACATGCCTTGTACTTAGTAGGTACTGAACAGATCAACTGCACATCTTAAAACTTCATGTCCCCCCAAAGTCCTAGAATAGTGCTGCGCTTTTGACAGCAGAGTCCCAGAAGAGTGGATGGATTCCTCAATGAGCAAAAAATAATAAATCAATGAACAATCAGTTGGAGGATGATCAAGGGTCAGAGTTCACAGGTCCTGTGACAACCCAGATCTGAGGATTATTTATAGAGACTGAAGCAGATGACCCTGGCTGCTTCTAATCCAGTGGGTTGTTTTGTTTACGTGTGTGTGTGTGTGTGTGTGTGTGTGTGTGTGTGTGTGTGTGTGGGTACTGGGGCTTAAACTCAGGACCTCACACGTTTTTTTCACTCAAGGCTAGTATTCTACCACTTGAGCCACAACTTCACTTCTGGTGACAAGAGTCTCGTTTTCTGCCTGGGCTGGCTTCAGATCACGAGCCTCACATCTCAGCCTCCTGAGTAGCGAGGCTCCCCGGTGTGAGCCCTCGCCTCCTCGCTCATCTCCACGTCCAAGTGACCGTTCCTTTCCCTTGCATCTTGTCTTGCAGGTGTGCACAGCGTCTCCTCGCGGTGGTGCTGTTTGGGGGGTTGCTCGGCCCGGGTGAGGATGTCCCCCCTGCTCTGCACATGAGTGGTCCAGGCCGACGGGAGCCCCTGCCTCCGACCCCCCTCGCAGACATGTCCGCCGTGGAGTAGTGTGGACACTTCCACTCAGCTTCTCAGGGTTTCCATCTTTTGGGGGGGAGCATTTTCTTCAGTTACTTTTTAAAATTTCTTTATGGTTTTGTGGCTGGACGTCCACCACCAAGGCAGACACTATGGGGGACCAGCAACTGTACAAGACCAACCACGTGGCCCACAGTGGCGAGAACCTTTTCTACCAACAGCCACCCCTGGGTGTCCACGGTGGGCTGAACAACAGCTATGGGAATGCGGTGGCCGGGGGTGGCATGGACGGCCCCCAGGTCTCCCCCATCTCTCCCCACTTCCCTCAAGACACTCGTGATGGTCTGAACTTACCCATTGGCTCCAAAAACCTTGGCCAAATGGATACGTCGAGGCAGGCGGGCTGGGGCAGCCACGCCGGAACTGGAAACCATGTCCAACTGCGTGGCAACTTGACCAACTCGAATATGATGTGGGGGGCGCCGGCCCAGGTGGAGCCCACCGACGCCTACCAATACACCTACGCCCAGGCCAGTGAGATCCGGACCCAGAAGCTCACCAGCGGCGTCTTGCACAAGCTGGATTCCTTCACCCAGGTGTTTGCCAACCAGAACCTGCGAATTCAGGTCAACAACATGGCGCAGGTGCTGCACACGCAGTCAGCGGTGATGGATGGGGCTCCCGACAGTGCCCTGCGCCAGCTGCTGTCCCAGAAACCCCTGGAGCCCCCCACCTCCGCTCTTCCCTCCCGCTACCAGCCGGCCGGCCAGCAGCCCCACCCCGGCTTCCCAGGTGGGCTGTCCAAACCAGCCCTGCAGGTGGGGCAGCACGCCAGCCAAGGCCACCTGTATTATGACTACCAGCAGCCTCTGCCTCCCATGCCCCTGCAGGGAGGCCAACCTCTGCAGGCCCCACAGGTGCTGGCCCAGCATCTGCCCCAGGTGCAGCAGCACCAGTACTTTCCACAGCAGCAGGCTGGGCAGCAACGGGTCTCCATGCAAGAAATGCAGCAGCAGCCCCCGCAGCCGCCACAGATCCGCCCTCCCCAGCCTCAGCAGCAGCAGCAGACGCCCGTGCACCTGCAGGCGCGGCAGGGCCCCATGCAGATACCTCAGTATTACCAAGCCCAGCCCATGATGCAGCAGCACTTGCAGGAGCAGCCGCCGCCGCCCGTGCACCTGCAGCCCCCGTCATATCACAGAGACCCTCACCAATACACGCCCGAGCAGGCGCACGCCGTCCAGTTGATCCAGCTGGGCTCCATGCCTCAGTACTACTACCAGGAGCCCCAGCAGTCCTACAGCCACCCCCTCTACCAGCACAGCCACGCAACCCAGCCCCAGCAGCCACGGGAGGACAGTCAGCTGAAAGCCTATTCGATCGATAGGCAGACCCCAGCCATGCTGAGTTCCCACGGGGACCTGGGGCCCCCGGAGACAGGAATGGGAGATCCGGCGAGCTCGGACCTGAGTCGGGTCAGCAGTGCCCTCCCCCATCGGCCACTCCTGTCCCCCAGTGGAGTCCACCTCAACAACATGGGGTCTCAGCCTCAGCAGCCGTCGCCCAGTGCCATGTGGCCCCAGGTATCTCGTGGGACATTTCTGTCCTCGTCCCTGTGTGAGTCAGGATCCAGCAGGGCTGAGGCTCTGCCTTGCCCAATCTTCTCGCCAGCCTTCAGGCTTTCTGGGTTTGGTGCAGTCTACAAAACATAAACCTACATGCACCAAGCACTATGGCAGGCTTTGGGATGCAAAATTAATTTGATTCCGTCCTTTACCCAGAGAGCTTATAATCCCACTAAGGAGATGTGGCCAAAATACTGTATTATGTCCTAAATGAGTCATGTAATAACCATGTTGAGTCAGGCGCTAGCGTACTGTCCCCTGGTACTCACACTCACACACACATACACATCTTGAATCTGTGTCCTTGGGGTATTGTCTGTGAAGTTGATCTTCCTGTGCAAGTATTAAGACACAATTCCTCAAAGTATATCATATAGAGCAATCGTTTTGCAGAATGTTAATAGACTGTTGGAGACGCTATGGGTTCTCTAGATAAATTCGAAGTTTCTTAATGTGAACTGGACCCAAGCACCAGTGGCTCACACCTGTCATCCTTAGCTACTCAGGAGACTGAGATCTGAGGATCACAGTTTGAAGCCAGCCAGGTCAGGAAAATCTGTGAGACTCTAATTAAGTACCCCAAAAAACTGGAAGAGGAGCTGTGAGTCAAGTGGTACAGCGAGCTCTAGCTTGAGCAGAAAAGCTCAGGGACAGCGCCCAGGCCCTGAGTTCAAGCACCAGTACTGGCACTACCAATGACAAAAAAAAAAAAAAAGTGAGCCATGTTTTCCTACTGCAAGGTTCTCCTGTGATACAGCAGTGCGCAGCATGACTCTTCCAAGGAGGATGCTACATACAGTCGTGAAGATGAAAACCTGGCAAAGGGTCTGGGAAGGTGGCTTAGTGGTAGAACGCTTGCCTTGCATGCCTGAGGCCCTGGGTTCGATTCCCCAGCACCACATAAGCAAAGAGAATAAAAGCCGGAAGTGGCACTGTGGCTCAAGTGACAGAGTGCTAGCCTTGAGCTGAAGAGCTGAGGGACAATGCCCAGGCCAGAGTTCAGGCCCCACAACTGGACCCCCGAAAGAAAGAAAGAACAAAAACCTGGCAAAAAAAAATAAAATGGTCTGGTAGGATAGGAGACAATATGGAGTGGTAGAGGCCGAGTTAGACTGGAAAGCAAGCACTCTGTGTCATTCAGAGTTTTAAAAAACAGTCTGCTGGGGTGGGAAGAAGGGCTCAGTAGGTGGAGCGCTAGCCAGGGGCAAACGCATCAGGTACCAAGTACTCATCTTGGATGAAATTTTTTTTTTTTTTTTGTCAGTTGTGGGGCTTGAACTCTGGGTCTGGGCACTGTCCCTCAGCTCTTCAGCTCAAGGCGAGCACTCTACCACTTGAGCGCCACTTCCGGTTTTCTGGTGGTTTATTGGAGATAGGAGTCTCACGGTCTTTCCTGCCCAGGCTGGCTTTGAACTGCGATCCTGAGATCTCAGCCTCCTGAGTAGCTAGGATTACAGGCGTGAGCCACCAGCGCCCGGCGAAAAAAAATTTTTTTAAGTCTACCAAATTAAATATGTCTACAGGCCAGACTGAGCCCTGGGACTGTAGTTATGATTGTTTCCTTCCTTCCTTCCTTCCTTCCTTCCTTCCTTCCTTCCTTCCTTCCTTCCTTCCTTCCTTCTTTCTTCCCTTCCTTCTTCCCTCCCTCCCTCTCTCCTCTCTCCTCTCTCCTTTCTTCCTTCTTTCTTTCTTTTTCTTTATTCTGTGCCACCTCTGGGACTGGAACTCAAGGCCTGAGCTCTGTCCCTGAGCAACTTTTGTTCAAGACTAGTGCTCTACCACTTGAGCCACAGCTCCATTTCCAGCTTTTTGGGTACTTTAGTGGAGATAAGAATTTCACAGACTTCCCTGTCCAGGTGCTTCAAACTGGCATCCTCAGGTCTCAGCCTCCTGAGTAGCTAGGATTACAGGTGTGAGCCACGGATGCCCGACTATAGTTATTAATTTTTTATTAGTTCCTCCAAAGTATTTTGACCATAAAAGAACCTCCTGTGTGCGAGACGCCGTTCCTACCTTAGTATATTCCAACTGTTGCATCTATTTGATGGCAAGGACTTTAGAAGAAGGGACCCCAGATTGGAACTAGTTGAGTGGAGAGAAATCTCTAATGGAGGTTGAAGGTCATTGGTGAACTTGCCTTGCCACCTTGTTTACCTGGGCCCACACCCAGTAGTAAGTGAGAGCCTGGTGTGAGTATCAAGGCTGTGAAGGGAAGAATTCCAGAGGTCTAGCACGATTCTGTGCCACTCACGTTTCTGCTCCATGCTTCTAGGGGGACCGAGAGCCCGTCTGGGTCGAATAGGCGTACTGGGAAGTCAAGGAGGAGGATGGCAGGAGTCAGTGTCTTCGGGTGTCGAGCCTGCCCTTAGCCAGAGAGAAATTAAGAGAAAGAAATGAGGCCTGAAAGAGAGGCCAGAGAGGACATGAGCAGGAAAGTTCTAGAAGGATAGATCCCCGGATTCTTACCACTTGAGAATGATTCTCCCCCTTCACATGTACTTTTCTCTTTCTTGTGTCCGTTGGTGTCCGTGTCCCCATTAGATGCACCTGCCTGATGGGAGAGGCCAGCCGGGGTCCCCGGAGTCAAGGTAGGAAGAACGGGGGGTGGGGGTGGGGGAGGGGAAGGGGTTCCTGGGTTGTCTTTCACGGCTCATTTCTAAATTCAATTTCTGAAGCACAGCAGCCGTGTTGGGGAATACCTACCACGGTCTATGACCGCGTGTGGTAAAATAAGGCCAAGAGGCAGCATAATGGCGGGGGGCTGTGGATCATTGAAAGACATGAGCGCAGCGAGGCTCAGGGAGCTTACACTTGTACATCAAGTGAGGAGTCATGCGGAAATGCCATGTTCTTTCCATTTTTATTCAGCCAGTGAGCATTGATTGAGCACTTACTGTGTGCCGGGTACAGAGCTAGGCTTTGGAATGAACCCAGTGCCTGGTCGCGGTTGCTAGCTGGTCACTAGTGGCTCATGCCTGTAATCCTCGTTCCTCAAAAGGCTAAGATCTTGAGTATCTCAGTTCGAACCAGGTCCAGGTAGAAAAGTCCAGGAGCTCTCATCTCCAGTTAATCAGCAAAAAGCTAGAAGTGGCGCTGTGGCTCAAATAACTGTGTAGAGCACCATCCTTGAGCAAAAAAGACCAAAGGGAAGCTTGACACTCTCAGTGTAAGCCCCAGTGCCAGCTAAAAAAAATCCCTTTCTCACCTCTGAACCTTGAGTTTGTTATGGTTGTTGTTGAAAGTACTGAGATTGGAACACGGGGCTCTGAATGTGGTAGGCAGGCAGTCTACTGCTAAGATGATATACCCAGTCTGGAGCCTTGGGGTTTTTTTGTTTGTTTGTTTTTGCCAGTCCTGGGACTTGAATTCAGGGCCAGGGCACTGTCCCTGAGCTTCTTTTGCTCAAGGCTAGCACTTGAGCCACAGCACCACTTCTGGCTTTTTTCTGTGTGTGTGGTACTGAGGAATTGAACCCAGGACTTCATGCGTGCGAGGCAAACACTCTACCACTCAGCCACATTCCCAGCCCCTGAGCCTTAGTTTTCATCTGCAAACTGAGCTTAGTTTTCTAGAAGGTATGGAAGAAGGGTTACAGACAAAGGAGAAATACGAGGTGTGCGTGTGCGATCTGGTGGTCGGTACTGTTGCTCCTTCCTTAACTAACCGTGCGTGCTCTCCTTGTGGTCCTACCCCGGGGCAGTGGCCAGCCCAGAGGAGTGTTGGGAGAGCCGTTGGATGCCAAGAACAAGTTGACCTGCTCCATCTGCCTGAAGGAGTTCAAGAGCCTCCCTGCCCTCAACGGCCACATGCGGTCCCACGGGGGAATGAGGGCCTCCCCGAGCCTCAAACAGGTTAGCAGAAGCCAGGCCCCTGTTCTTCTAGGCCATGTGCTGCTTGCTTTGCTTTGCCGCTGTCAGACACTGTGTGAGACAGAGGGATGGGGGCTGCATGTGGACACAGGGGCGTCTAGTGCTCCCCACACCACAAAGCCTGAGTCTGGACGCTGTCAGCCAGATGGGCCCCAAGCTCCCATCTCTCCTCCCGGCTTTATCAGAAATGACACTGCTTAAGAGATCCTTCTAGGGAATTCCCTAGAATTCGCCCAACCTGCTGGAGAAGACAGCAAAAGAAAACCCGTAACTGTAGTGTTCCTTTGGATTTGTGCTGCTTTGAAGCACCCAATCCTATGGCCACGTGGGCCTCCAAAAGTTAGTAGTCAGAACCGGATGCTGGTGGCTTATCCCTATAATCCTAGCTACTCAGAAGGCTGAGGTGTGAAAACTACGGTTCGAAGCCAGCCTGGATAAGAAAGTCCATGAGACTTTATCTCTAGTGAATCATCAGAAATCCAGAAGTGGAGCTGTGCTCAAAGTAGTAGAATGGCCAGGCTTGAGCAAAAACTCTCAGAACCAGTGCCCAGGCCCTGAGTTCAAGCCCCAGTACCAGCACAGACACGTGCATGTGTGTGTGCGCGTGTGTGCACACACACACACACACAGCATCAGTGGTCGGTGTAGCCATCAGGCCCACAGTCATCATTTTCAGCCCACCGGTGCAGTGGTGGTCTAGCATCCAAAGATCCTAGAACACCTTCTGTATTTTCTGGGTGACAAACCATCTATGCATTTCTGAGTTTGACCAAAGCATTTCCCTAGAACCCTTTGAATAATGCTGATTTCATGGGATTTATTCTCTATTAATCAACATGTTGGACTACCTAGATCTCGCTGTCTCCTGGCCATACCAGCTTAAAGAGCTATGACTTGAGTTTTTTCCTTAAATAGCATGTTTTATGCCAGGCATGGTGACGTGTGCCCATAAATCCCAGCACTCTGGAGGCTGAGGCTGGAGGATCGAGAGCCTGAGGCCATTCTGGGCTACACAACAAAACTGTTGCTCGGAACCACACCAGTAGCATGTTTTTTCATTTTCAACGTGGTTTCCTAACCTCGGTAACAATCAACTCGGGCCTATAGGGTTAAAGACTCCTGTGTAAGAGCACACATTGTATTTCATTCTTCATTGAAGACAAATCCCAATCCTTCCCTTTATAGGCAGTGAGAACCCATGCTCAGTTTTTTTTGTTATAGCATGTGATAGCATGTCCACGTTGTAGTAGGATGTCTGGCTTTGTCGGCCAGCCAGGCATTGCTCCACCAAGGGCCCCAGGGCTGCTGGGAAGATTGCCACCCAGCAGTGGTCCTCAGTCACCCAGGCCCTGGGTCCTAGAACTATTCAGGGAGAGCTGCTGTCAGCTCAAACCCAGGATCAAAGCCTTTATCCTCTGTGTAGGAGGAAGGAGAGAAGGTCCAGCCACCGCTGCCGCCTCCGCCTCCACCGCCACTGCCGCCTCCGCCACCGCAGCTCCCTCCTGAGGCCGAAAGCCTCACGCCCATGGTCATGCCCGTGTCTGTCCCTGTCAAGCTTCTCCCGCCCAAGCCCGGCCCGCAGGGCTTCACCACCGGCGGCGCCGCCACCCCCTCTGCCAGAGACAAGCCAGCCAGCTCGACGGCGGACGAACAGATGCCTGTGCTCGTGAGGATGGCGCTGTCGCCGCCCCGCTCGCCCCCTGGGGCTGCCCCCTGCGTGCCCACTGTGAGTTGCTGCTCTGTCTCTCCTGGGGACATCTCTTTGCTTTCTTTGGAGATGGGGACAGTTCTTCCCATGTCCATGGTCTGAGTTCGGACATGGCTGGGCCTCCATTGTCTTATGAATGCCCGTCTCCCATTCACCTGAGCCATGGGCTCCTTTCTGCGAGTCAGGGTGATGCCAGAGGTGATAAGTCAGCACACTGCCAAAGATACGGCCCTACCAGTTATTCAACTATGGAACTATAGCCAGGCACTGGTGGCTCACACCTGTAATCCTAGCTGCTCAGGAGGCTGAGATCTGGGGATCTAGTTTCAGAATTAGCCTGGGCAGGAAAATCTGTAAAACTCTTATCTCCAACTAACCATCAAAAAGCCAGAAGTGAAGTTGTGGCTCAAGTGGTAGAGCACTAGTCTTGAGCACAAAAGCTCAGAGATAATGTCCAGGGGCCTGAGTTGAAGCCCCAGGACTGGCACACAAAAACAAACAAATGAAAAACATGGAAGTACTTCTGCCCAAGATAATAAACAGTTGCCTGGCTCTCCCCAGAACCTCCAAATTCAGCCACACCGTGAGGCCACATCCTTTCTGATGATTGTCAGCCTTACAAGATAATAATAATCTGGAGAACGTAATTCATTAAACTTCCCAGAAAATTCCACTGGGAGCCCACCATCCCCAGTCTGAGGAAAGCAAAGTGATTGGCGTTTGTCACCGTTCCATTCTTCTGGTTCTCAAATCTCTTCTCTTCTCTCTCCCTCTTCCCACCCTGGGGAATTTGTCACTTGTGGCTAGCTCTATCAGACCTGTCCGTGTCCTCAGAATAGGGTGTTAAGTCCTCTTTGTCCTTAGAGAATAAATAACTACTGGGAATGCTAGAGGCTTGAAGATCGGGTTGAGCAGGATGGATGTAAGGAAAATAATAAGTCTACAGCTGTGCACTGGTGGTTCAGAGCCCCACTCTGTGTGGTTTCTGTGGCCCTGGTTATCCAGAGCCTTTCCTGAAGGCTCTGAGTTAGGCCTCCTGGTTAGAGCAGGAGTAACAGGACAGAAGGGGAGGAGAGTGCAGCTGGGTGCCGGTGATTTATAATCCTAGCTCCTTGGGAGGCTATGGTCTGAGGACTGTGGTTTGAGGCCAGGGAAGTCCATGAGATCGATCTTCAATTCATCATTAAAAAAAAAAAAGCAATTAGGAGAGCTGTGGCTCCCGCCATCGAGCTTCCAGGCTCTGTGGAGTGGAGCCCGGAGCTGAGGGTCCCACTGTGGCAGGCCCTGTGTCCTGGAGTCAGCTGGTCAGGGGACTGTGGTCAGCTTTGCCATCACCCCATCGCTAGAGCTGCCCTGCTCCCAGTGCCTCCTCCCCACACCCCATGCCAGCCCCCCTCTTCTCTGGACTGATGCTGGCACACGCCCCTGGTCTGTTTCTGTGTGGCTTTGGCGTGCCCAGCTTCTCTATTTACACACATCTGTTTACTTATTTGTATCTGTGTCCATGTGGGCAGAGTTTCCTGTCAGGCAAGAGTTTCCTCTACCGGGCCTGGCGGCCATGGCTGATAGAGGCCCAGGGGAGGCAGAGAAGGAGGAAGAGAAGGGAGAGGGAGAGAAAGAAGAGGAGGAGGGGGGAGGAAGGGAAGGAAAGGGAAGGAGGAAGGCCTGTACCAGTGGCTCAGGTCTGTCATCCTACTCAGGAGGCTGAGATCTGAGGATCACAGTTCAAAGCCAGCCCGGGCAAGAATGTCCATGAGACTCTTATCTCCAATGAACCACCAGAAAACCAGAAGTGGTGCTGTGGCTCAAGTGGTAGAGCGCTCGCCTTGAGCTGAAGAACTCAGAGTTCAAGCCCCATGATCGACAAAAAGAAAGAAAGAAAGTGGAAGAGGAGAAAGTGGAGGAAGAAGAGGAGGGGGAGGAGGGTACCCTGAGAAGGGAGGGAAGGAGGAGGAGGAGGGAGGTGAAGAAGAGGAGGAGCACTGAGCAGCCGAGGAGGCCAGCCAGGCAGAGGGAGGCCGGCGCTGGAGGCCGCAGCGGCTGGCGGCCCGGTGGGCCCCGAGGAGGCCCAGGCCTCTTCCTGTCTGGGCCCCGTCCCGAGCAGTCCTCGCGTCCCCTTCTCGGGACGGGACGCGGGCTTTCTGTCCCCAGTCCACCCAGCCCGACCCGGCCCGACGGGCCCCTGTGCCCCAGAGTCCTCCCTCGGCCCGGCCACCGGAAGTGGGGCGTCCGGCGGGCCTGGGGTCCCCCGTTTGACTCGTCACCCCCGCCCCCCGCAGGACCTCGCCCGGAAGCCGCAGCCCAGCGCCGCC